TTTTGCTCTTGTTGCCCAGGCTGGACTGCAATGGTGTGATCTCGGCTCACCCCAACCTTCGCCCCTGGGTTCAAGCGATTCTCCTGCCTCAGCCTCCCGCGTAGCTGGGAATACAGGCATGGGCCACTACACCTGGCCAATTTTTGTATTTTTAGTAGAGACGGGATTTCTCCATCTTGGTCAGACTGGTGTTGAACTCCCGACCTCAGGTGATCTGCCCGCCTCGGCCTCCCAAAGTGCCGGGATTACAGGGGTGAGCCACTGCGTCCAGCTTATTTTTTAAATTTGTTTATTTTTTAAGAAATACTGAAAAGCTGACCCATGAGAGCAGATCCACTTGTGATGGGTGCGAACGAGGTGAGTGAGGGTGCCTCTAGGTTTGAACTCAAGGACGGTCGGGGCAGCTGCATTTAGTTACACCCGCCGCAGCAGGGACTTGGTTAAAGCTACTAAGTGGTGAGGGCTGCATGCTGGGGCTCCAAGTGCACCTCGTTTTGCAAGGGCACCTGGCAGGTAAATCCGGGAATGGTTAATGGGCAAGACGTGGTGAGGCAGGGAAGGAAGGCAGGGAGAGCCGGTCCCAGTCCACCCCCCCGGGAGACTTCGCAGCATCTCTGAGCCCGCCAGGTGCAGCTCATCGTGGCCTCCTTGGGCCGGACGGAGGTGGCGCCAAAAGAGGCCGGGCCGCAGGGTTGAAATTGAATTGGAGCGGGGGCGACGGCTGCCCTCCTGAGGGTGCGCCCCGTCTCACGGCAGGCTGGGCTAGGCCGTCTGTTTTCCCGGGCCGTTTTGGTGACCGCTGCGGGGCACGGGGTTGTGTGCCCATAAAATTAGGAGGGTCTCCGTCTTCGAGAGGGGCTTTGCGCCTCTGACCCTGCGGATATCAGCGCTGGGACGCTGGGGGGTTGGGACCAGGGACCCGAGGCCACAGAAGCCAGTGGTGCGTTGCGCACACATCAGCCTAATTCTTGCGGAAGGAGGGCAGGTAAGCTGTGGCAGCGGACCCCAAAAGGCCAGGGCAGGAGATGGGTGGGCCGAGGACCCACTCAGGATGCGGGAGCTCAGGTGTAAGTATGGGGTGGGAGGGTCTGGGGGCACCTGGGCTCCTTGCTGTGCTTGTGGGGATGCCTGGGAGATGAGAAGAACCCAGTACTCGCCTGGCTCAGACAAGTGTAGCAACCCTAGTGTCTTGTTAAGTCTGTGTGTGAAAGATAACCATAGTTTCTTTAAATTTCTAGGAAAGTTGGGCCTGGGGCGGTGGCTCACGCTTGTAATCCCAGCCCTTTGGGAGGCCGAGGCGGGTGGATCACCTGAGGTCAGGAATTCGAGACCAGCCTTGCCAACACGGTGAAACCCCTGTCTCTACTAAAAACACAAAAATTAGCCAGGCACGGTGGTGCGTGCCCGTAATTCCAGCTACTCGGGAGGCCAAGGCAGGAGAATCGCTTGAGCCCGGGAGGTGGAGGTTGCAGTGAGCAGAGATGGTGTCATTGCACTCTAGCCTCGAGAGGGAATGAGGCTCTGTCTCAAAAAAAAAATTTTTTTTTTAACCACGTCTCTGGTCTTTTATTACAGGTCGCTTCTTGCTCATGAGGGGTGGGGTGGGGGACAGTCTTTTTGGTGTAATAGGAAAATGTGTGTAGTTAGAAACCAGATGCTTTCTTGGAAGTAATAGTAAAAGGAAGAAAAATGTTAACCAGGTGCTATTGTTTGAATACAGCTCCTCCCCACCAAAACTCATGCTGAAATTTGATCCCTAATGTGGCAGCTTTTGGGAAGAGGGGCCTCCTGGGGGTGGAGTCCTTATGACTAGGTTCATGGATTAGTGCCTGAGCTGCTTGAGTCTGGCTTCCTCAGTTTCTCTGGTTTCCCTTTTTCCCATGTGATCTTCATACACACTTCTCCCCCGCTCCTGCTTTCTACCGTGAGTTGAAGCAACGTGAGACCCTCACTGCTTCCCAGCCACCAGAATGACGAGCCAAATACACCTCTTCGTAAATTACTCAGCCTCAGATATTCTGGTGTAGCAACACTGAAGAGAGTAAGACACCAGGCAGCTCCACAGACGTCTAACGTAACTGTGTTCTTCAGGGTCATCACCTTCGGGACCGCAATGACTGGTCGGGCCAGGACGACCGCTCGAGGCAGAGCCCGCCGCAGGGAGCAGGAGGAACAAGAGGCACCTGGGGTACCCAGAGCACCTGAATCAGCTGCAGTGAGCGAGGCCTGTAACTTTCGTTTTCTTTATGCAAGAGATTCGTGCCTGTACTGAAAAGAACATACTTGTTGTCGAGCCAAGCTAGTTGAGGAATAGTGCTAAGTGAGAACTGATCAAAGTTCCTAAGAGTCAGGCTGTATAGACGGCAGCGGGGGGAGGCGTCATCTGCGTTCTGCTGCTTCCTCCTCACATTCTCACATGTGCTAGCAGGCTGACTTTCAGCCCAAAGTGGATGCAAAGGTTTCTAGATTTCTTGGCTTCAGGCAATAACTCCTCTCTGAAAGAGACCCAAAATAAGCAACTTCATGAATGCACTGGCATCGCCTGAGTTAGAGATTTTTCCAGTCTTGTTGAAAACTGGTATGCCTGCTCTGTTTTATCTTCTCTTACTGCATATCCACTTTGCATTCACACGACGGGATCCGTAGTGGTGCTGAGGGGTCTCACCTGACAACCTCCAGGGAGATCCTAGTCTGCATGGATGGAGCATGATGCCTTCCAGGTCCCCTTACTCTGCTGTGATTGTCATTCCGCTTTTTCCTAAGCTCTCCAGCCTCACTTCCTCCTCCTGGTCCTGATTGTCAGTTTTCAACATCGACCCCTGTGTCACTGAGACAAAGCATCTAATGAGAATGTCAGTGGCTCCCCCTCTGGTCTCCTCACTCGTCACCATCTGAACCTGTATCTAGCCCCTCACCTGAGACCCTAGGACACTAGCTTTTTTTTTTTTTTTTTTTTTTTGTATTAGTAGTAGAGATGGGGTTTCACCACATTGGCCAGGATGGTCTTGAACTCCTGACCTCAGGTGATCCGCCCGCCTCAGCCTCCCAAAGTGCTGGGATTTCAGGCATGAGCTGCCGACCCTAGCCTAGGGCACCATCCCTGTTCCTACCTAAAGCAGGTGTCTCTACTTAGCCCTGTAGCCAGTCCTCCATCCAGGGCCCATCTGGTGCAACCTTCTGTCTCCCAAGTCAGCAGCTGTGTGTTCTCCTAAATCATTCCCATCTGTCTTCAAACTCACTGAGTTTACTCCCATTCATCAAGAAACCTTCCCTGGATGTTCGCACTCTCCAAATCCATAGGGTGGCTCTCCTCAGACTTGCCCCGTGGTGTGTACTTGGCACAGTTGAGAGCTCTTTTCTCCTGATTGGCTCCCTTCACTTAGTGTTGAGGCCACCTCCTTCATCACTGGCCACCCCCCCTTGCTCTCTTTTGTGGAGTTCTCCTCTGTGCCCCCTTGATCTTGCCCAGACTGTTGAGCCTCATCTTTTTCTCCATATTCTCGCTCCCTTGGTAAAGTTATCCAGGGTCAAAAATGCTATCCGGTGTGTGGACAGGTCCCATATTTTTCTCTTCAGCCAGAACCCCTCCTGTACCACCCAACAGCCCCACAGGTGTCCACAGACATCTCACACTCCCGATCTGCCCTTCCCAACACGTCACACCCACCTCATCAGAAGGACGTTTATTCTTCTGCTTGCTCAGGCCAAAAGTCTATGAGTTCATTCTATCGCCATGACCTCAAGCCCTTCTCAAAAGCAACCAGGGATTGTTTTCTCTTTTTTTTTTTCCCTCAAACTATCCAGTATTGGACAATTTCTCACCACTCCCATCCCTGCCTTCCAGCCCAAACAGCTGACATCCTTGCTCTTTCCTTATCTCTCACTCGACGTGTTCCCAGCACAGAACCTGACAAATCAGTTCATGTTGTTCCTCTGCCTGGCATCCTGTCGCAGCTCTCATTTTATCAGTCAGAAGCAATTTCCTTAAAGTGACCTCCTTCCCTTCATCTCATTGACCTCTCTCGCCGTTCCCTTCCAGCCACACCGGCAGCCTCATTCTTCCTTGAACCTTCCCAGCTGCAGAGCTCTGCTTTTTCCCTCCACCTTTGGCTTGGGCGACTTTGCTAATTCACTCAGCACCTCCAAGTCTTGGGTTCAATGTCGCTTTCTCCCTGAGGCCCTCCTTTGCCATCAACTAATCAAACCTGCCCCTTCACACCCCGCCTTCCCAGTAGTTCCTGATTCTCCTCAGTTTGTGGTGTTCTTTGTTTCCTTAGCAATTACCACGCAAAGTGCTATTACACTGTTGCTTATTACTACTCAGTTTCTGTCACTGGAATATGAGCTTTGCAGAGGAAATTCCTTTGCCTTGTGCCCTGAGAGTACCATTTGGAGGGTGAATAAACTCAGGGGGGCACAGCTCATTATTTCTATTTCCAGGAGCCCGCTCAGTGGCAGCGGACACCCCGGTCCCTGCGAGGGGAAGGCCCAGTGGTTAGACCGCGGCAGCCAAGAGGAGCAGAAGTAGCAGCACAGTCTCGAGGTAAAAGGAGGCAAGAAGGATGTGAGGGGCAGGGGATGCTTCCTGCGTGAAGGGCTGCCACAGTGGTAGAAGGTTCTAGACAGCCTGAGGACTCCCGTGAGGTTTGGTGAGATGGGAAGTGTGTGCAGCTGGCGACTGTCCCTCTTTGTGCAGTGAATTATCTGATAGTGTTTCCTTCACCTTAGGTCTTAAAACTTGTGGAAAAGAAATGGTGGCCACTGTTTATTAGCCAGTTCAACATAATTGCTTTTCAAATTTACATGACACATTTGCAGATGATCACTCTAAGTTAACTTAATAGAATTCTAAGAATACCATCTTCTTGCCTCTTTAAATTGTGACATTAAGAGTTTAAACTGTTACCGACATCATTTATGTAAGCATCCTCATTTATTTATTTATTTATTTTTATTTATTTATTTTTTTGAGACGGAGTTTCGCTCTTGTTACCCAGGCTGGAGTGCGATGGTGCGATCTCGGCTCACTGCAACCTCCGCCTCCTGGGTTCAGGCAATTCTCCTGCCTCAGCCTCCTGAGTAGCTGGGATTACAGGCACGTGCCACCAAGCCCAGCTAATTTTTTGTATTTTTAGTAGAGACACGGTTTCACCATGTTGACCAGGATGGTCTTGATCTCTTGACCTCGTGATCCACCCGCCTCAGGCTCCCAAAGTGCTGGGATTACAGGCTTGAGCCACCGCGCCCGGCTAGCATCCTCATTTATATAAGTACTCATGCACACAGGCCCAGACACTGTGATTTGCTAAGGATTTGGCCAATGTGATTCAACTTCAGTCTGGATTCTCCACTTTGGTTATTATAGCAAAGTAGCTTGTGATGAGTCAAAACCTTAAACACTAAAAAATTGTATTATAGATAAATATTAAACCGATCTAAAATCCAGAACCCGTAAAATGAGCTTATTCATTTGAATACATAAAATTAAAACACACTTAATTTAATTTTAATCAGATCCCATCTGAAAGGTTATTAGACAGCATGTTCAAAGTATGTGGACTAGGCACAGTGGCTCACCCTAGCACTTTGGGAGGCCCAGGTGGGTGGATCACTTGAGTCTAGAAGTTTGAGACCAGCCTGGCCAACATGGCAAAATCCTATCTCTACCAAAAATATGACAATTAGCCAGGCATGGTGGCACGTGCCTGTAATCCCAGCTACTTGGGAGGCTGAGGCAGGAGAATTGCTTGAGCCTGGGAGGCAGAAGTTTGAGCTGAGATGGGGCCACTGCACTCCAGCCCGGGTGACAGAGTGAGACTCCGTCCCAAAAAAAGCATAGTTTGTAGCGAGTGCCGAAGTGCCAAGCTGGGACACCTGTTTCCTTTTGCTGACATTTTAATATGGTGAATTATACTGTCGGATGTGTTAGAAGCTAGTTGGAAGTTTGATAAAATTGTTTCAAATTTTATGTGTAAAATATAGGTTATCAGAAATGGAGACACTCTTAATTTGTCAGATTCTCATAAACTGGAAAACAAAGCCTCCAGAAGTAAAATTTTGAGAAAAACCATTGTAACCCAAGGCAAAGACATCTTGGTCATTCAGGGTTACGGGATTTACAGGGATTTACAGTGACGTGTGTGTATTCTTCCAGGATGCCTCACTTGTCACTGAAAGGCTGCATTGTGCTGTCATTCACATTTAACTTTGTAGAATAGCTACCTCGATATGAACTTAGAATGTAAGTTTAAAATAGTGTGATCCATTCGTAGTTGCTCTTAATAGAAAGGATAGATCAGTTTTGTATCAAAAGCCAGTTTCATAGATTTTTTAAACGATTGGCCTATTTGGCATTTTATGATTCCCACTAGGGGGCAGTGTAGCGGCAGGGGAGAGGCTCAAAGACAGAGTCAGAACCAAGGTTTCTAGAATCTTGTACCATGAAAAAATACCCAAGAAATGGGGCAAATGTGTAGCAGGAATGAACGATAGTGCTAAGGCAACCACGGATGTGAACTGAGAACTCCTTGGGAAAGGTTTCTAGGAAAGGTTACACACGTGTGGCAACATATCACTGAAATGTGTTTCGGAACCTTAGGTCGTATCTTACCCACCTCCAACAAACTCAGGCTGGGTGTTAATACTGTCTTTTCTATTCTTCCCTTTTTATTTAAACTTCTGGCTTTTACATTTATGCAGGGGTGAAAGAACCTGGACTTGAAGCTGGATTAAAAACCCTGTCCTTACAGGAGAGGATTGGTGGAGTTTTTCAGGACCTGGTAGTAAACACCAGGAGAGATATGATGCATGTGAAAAACTCAAAAACAGGTTTGCTGGCCGATAGCCTGGTGTTGATGGAGCGGTTGGGGTTGGGGTTCGAGTTTTGCTTTTGAGACAGTGTCCTGCACTGTTGCCTGGGCTGGAATACAGTGGTGCCACCTTGGCTCACTGCAACCTCTGATCTCCCAGGTTCAAGCAATTCCCCTGCCTCAGCCTCCTGAGTAGCTGGGATTACAGGCCCATGCCACCATGCCCAGCTAATTTTTTGAATTTTTAGTAGAGATGGGGTTTCATCATGTTGCCCAGGCTGGTCTCAAACTCCTGACCTCATGATCTGCCCTCCTTGGCCTCCCAAAGCATTGGGATTTACAGGCATGAGCCTCCGCATCCAGCCCTAACTTTGGCCTTTAATATTGTAGTGTCCAAACTGTTTTAGGCCCAATCAGTCTGTTTGATTGTCATATTGCTCAATTTTTCAGGTTCAGAGGGTGAAGCGGTACAGCTAATCACCAATCACTTCCGAGTGATATCCCATCCTCAGCGTGTTGCATTTAAATACAACGTTGACTACAAACCAGACGTAGAGGCTGGAAATCTCCGTCAAATTTTACTTAATCAACATATAAGGAAATTTGGAGAGTGCCATATATTTGATGGAAACTCTTTATTATTACCTCAGCCACTAAGAGAGCAGGTTAAATAATGTTATTTCACATCTTCCTGTGTTCTTTCTCTTGTTTTTACTTTTAAATAATAAAACACCCATTATTTTTGTGCCGTTGTTTGCAGAGATGTCCCAAGGACCTCTTGCTCAGATGGTTTGTAGCAGAACCTGCATGCCATATTGCTGATATTCAATAATGCCTCTAATTTTAATGCTTAAATGAAATTTAATAGCACAATGTGGCTTAAAAATGCTTCCAAATTTTGGATACTTAATTTTTAAAATCCTATTTGTTTCATTCAAAACTTCAGCCCCCTCGCTCCTAGCAGAAAAAAATTAGAAAACTTATTTTCTTCTAGAAATTTCTATATCAACTGAACAATTAAGTTGTTTTCAGGAGTTTGAGTAAAATATTTCAACTCGATTAATTCCAACTCTTCACTCTTGTAAATCACATTTTGTACATGCATGTACCTTTGTGGGAATGACTGCCCCATCACAATAGTTTTCTGGATAGCCAAGTGACATGTTGATTTACCGTGCAATGAAGCTTAAGTTTTTGGAAGAATATCTGGACTTTTTTTGTTCTTAATCTCAGAAAGTGGAATGGGTGAGCATAACCGAAGACAAAAAAATTGTGAAGATTGTGGTTGAGTTTTCCAAAGAACTCAAGCCCACGTCACCAGATTGCCTACGCTTTTACAACATTCTGTTTAGAAAGTATGTTATCGGGGTTGAATTTCTTTGTTATTCATTCGGTTGTTTTATTGTGTTAGTGGTGTTGAACGTAGCCATTTGCTTTGAGCACTTTGTGTTCTTCATAGTCCCATGTATTAAGAGAATGAAGAGTCTTGGAGATGAGATGATAGCTGAGGCTCACCTAGAATGAGCAAATTCAGTGGATTATCCTCAGTGTCCTCCTGGCCTACCCCTGCTCTTTGCCTCATACCTGCCTAGAAAGAGCAATAGACCTCAGCTATGCACCTCCATGTGTGTCCCTGTAGCAAATACACTTTTTACTATGGTCACTACGATAACTAAATATTGCAAGTTAAAATTTGAAAGGCACAGTTGGAGACCAGATGTGGTGGCTCACACCTATAATCCTGGCATTTTGGAAGGCTGAGGCAGGTGGATCATTTGAGGTCAGGATTCGAGATTGGCCTGGCCAACATGGTGAAACTCTGCCTTTACTAAAAATACAAAAATTAGTTGGGTGTGGTGGCATGTGCCTGCAGCCCAGCTACTCAGGAGGCTGAGGCAGGAGAATCACTTGGACCCAGTGGGTAGAGGTTGCAGTGAGCAGAGATCGCACCACTGCACTTCAGCCTGGGCGACAGGGCGAGGCTCTGTCTCAAACGGCACAGTTTGAGAAAGAGACCTTAGTTCAGTTTTGAGAATGAAGAACATTTTGGTAACCTTTCTACAATATGTTTATATGGAGACAGAACAATTGAGGTTAAATGAGCCTTACTATCCACCTCATAATGTAACTTTGTGGTTGGGTACTTTATGTTCATTGATAATGTAAATAGTCATTGACAGATTTTTTTTTCCTCCCTTATGTGTCTTACCAAATGCTTAATAACGTAACCTGTACTTTCAACAAAATCTATTTTTTTTTTTCCATTTCTAGAACTTTGAAGGAGCTAAACTTGAAACAAATTGGTCGCCACTATTACACCGAAAAGATACCATTGACACTAGAGCGTCGTGGGTTTGTATAAAGTAGAAAATTTCACATTCTGCAGACTTAAACATAGGATTTTTTGGAGAAAGTTATTGTCACATTTGAAGTGGTACGCCTTAAAAGTTACTGCCTTTTAAATGACATCCACTGACCATTTAAAAGCGTAATGTCAACTCAAAGTAAGAAGATTCATTTTAAAAAAGCTTAGCATGACAAATATAAACCTTAAGGTAATACAGTTGTTGCATACACATTAAGAAGCCTAAACGATCATGCAAAATGGGTAATTTATCTCTGAAAGTATCTTCAATCATAGCAACTATATCTATTACTTATTGGTATAGGTATCTATCAAACATAAGTTATGTTACGGATAAATGTGGATATGATACTTTCAGCCTATGGGTGATAAAAGCAGTTGGACAAAAATATAAATAGCACCTCTGATAAATGTTTACCTGAAGGTCCTTCAAAAGACTAAGACCAAGGAATTGAAACTGACTTCTAAGTACCAATTTTTAGACCCAGAGCTTGGGCCTAGAAACTCTTGCTTTATGTGAAAAGCTTGGACTTAATACACTCATGTAATTTATTCTAGTACCAGGTTGGAAATCTGGCGTGGTTATGTTACTTCTATTCTTCAATACGAAAACGGCATTACCCTCTGTGCTGATGTGAACCACAAACTGCTCCGAATAGAAACTGTTCATGATTTCATAAGCAAAATACAGGCACGGGCCTACCCAGGAAACGCCCAACAGGAAGTAGCTAATAAATTAATTGGATCAATTGTTCTGACAAAGTAAGTCTATCTTTTAAAAACCTATCCAATCATTTTAACTCCCCCCCCCGCCCGCCAAGAGATGGTCTTATAGTTTTCTAGTCACTAAATGTTGAAATTTGAGTAGACATGGCAACAACCACTGGACATGTTTCTCCTCTGGTTATATAGCTTGGGAGAACATAGGTCAATTGTAGACTTTACTATTCTTTTTTTTTTTTTTTTTTTTCCCCCCCGAGACGGAGTCTTGC